GGATTAAACAATTTTTTTATTATTGAAAAAAATTGAAAACCTTGGCGTAATAAGGTTGGTTACATGCCATATTAAGTAAGTTTTGGGAAATTAAATTTTTAATTTGTTTTAAATCTGTCAAATATAATTAGAAACATTATTTAAATATAAATATTACGAAAAATAGCACATCTATCGGATTAGAGGTAAAATAATTTGTATGTGGCTAGTAAAATCCTCGTTAACAAATGTTTTGAGCTAAAACAGTCACTTCACGACAAATTGTGGCTTGGATCCTTTTTACACCAAGGGCTTCAATTGTTAAAGAATTGTGTCACGCTCGTGGATGCAAATCAAGTGGTACCCCGTGTCTCTGGCAAGTGTTACTCTTCGCGCAAAGGGTTTATACCTAGATAAACGAATGTTTCGACTGAGGTCTGGGAACTCTATGGTATTTTGGAATTATAAAGAATTTGTGCTTTAATTTTAACAATATTGGTTATATTTAGATGTATTCTTATTAATTGAAATACAGATTTGTAGAAGTAATACTTTGACAGTTTTTATTAATATAATATATTCAATTTTTATCTGACCATACCGAAGTAGGGAATTTTGAAACTTTATAGTAATGTGAAATTTGAATTACAATATTACACGATATTACATAATTAGTACTTATTTTAGGTAGGTACTAAATTTGTACTTGGAGAAAGTAATATCGATTTTTATAAGAAAACTTGAAAAGTAAATTAATTTAGTTCCTATTTCTGATGTAAAACTTAAGTTTTGGTTTAAACCAAGAAAACAAATAAATTATAGTTTGTTCAACAAGGGTGGATATGATAGCAATATCACACAAAGACGAAGTTTGAGCACGACGTCGTATGCGGAGTACTCAATCGTCTGATTGTGATATGAACAATCCACTCGATATGGTCAGTATATTTTTTCTACGACCCACTAACGAAAATCTACAAATTTAAAAAATTATCTTAGGTTATTTAGACAAAATAACTAATTTTAAAATAATTTACGAAGTTGACTAATTTATAAAATAAAATTAACATGAAAAATTAATTAGTCCTCGGCCTAGATTCGATCCCGGGCTTTTCGCGTGGAAGGCAGATGTTCTGTCCTCATCTTCACCGAAACTTTCAGGACTTTAGTTTTAATACTCGTAATTAAATTAGTATCATGTAGTTTGATTAAAATTTATTTTTTTTTAAATGTGGACACAATAAAAACAAAAATGCTATTATTTATCGAGTCTACACAAAAATTTTAATGTATATTTAATTTTAATAACTAAAATATATATTGACAATTAGTTTAGCAGAATTGTCACTTATTTAAAAAAATTTAAATAATAGGAGTTGGGTGACCAAAATATGAACTGTGATTTGTAGATTTAATTTTGTTAAAGTGTTCTCACTACCTAAAATGGATATGAAATATATTCGTAGTTGAACGCAATAACATACTTTTTCGTTTTGTAGTATGTGCATAGATTGGCTAATATCCATGCACAGATTACAAAACGAAAAAGTATGCTATTGCCTTCAATTGAACGAATATATTTCATATCCATTCTAGGTAGTGAGAACACTGCAAAAAAAAATAAATTCGCCAATCACCGTTCATATTTTGATCAACCGACTGCTATTATTTTTAAAATTTTAAATAAATGACAATTATGTCAAACTAATTGTCAGTATATTTTTTAGTTATTGAGATTAAACAAGTTATTCTTTTGGAAAACGTTAGCATGGATGACTAATGGGTATTGGGTTAATTAATTCTAAAAGTGTGGTACAAATGTTATTTTTTGTAGCCAATTCTTCAAAATTATTTTGAAATATCTTTTCAATATTGAATATTAGTTCTACAAATTCATCATTTGACAGTTGCAGATTTCCAAATGTATCTGGATTGGCGTTAGCATATGCCTTTAAAAAGCAATAAAAAGAAAAATCATCTAATTCAACGTGATCTTTGTTATATTTAAGACAGGTATCGCAGAGGAGTGGATCCGCAAGGCTTTTATTAAAAGGTAACCACACACATACCTGATAAAAGTTTTTCGTCTTTACAATAATTTAGGGTGTTAATAATTTTATCATAAAATAAAATAAAAGGTGTTCCATTTAAAAAACATACATTTTAATTTGCCAGGCAAAAACGTGACACCCTGTATATCCAAAGATATTTTTAAAATATGTAGGTATTTTTCAAATCCATATAACTTTTATTTAAAACTTTCTTGCGTGTCTACAACAAAATAATGAACAATAACGCACTAATGGGATACCCTGTATAAATTATATTTTTAACAATGAAAATTTCTTATAATGTGGTACTTATCGGTTTGGGTCCTTGGGAAAACTAAAGAATGTTTTCTTGCAGGTATAACCCTTATTAAAACAGCTTTTGACTGCACAAACAGAATGATGTCTTTTTTTTTCACTCATTCTACTCATAGCTAAAGAGTCACCAAAATAATAACAGTACCTTTAACTCAAACAAAATCAACGAAATTATAGGCTCCACGAAATTATACAATCAACGAAATTATAGGCTCCACGAAATTATACAATCAACGAAATTATACGCACGACTCAACACCTTACCTAAGTACGCTTCTGAACACCAAAACCGTCTTTTCCCTTCGAAGGCGGAGCTTAAGCGATGCGCGACGAAATCGACGCAAACCGTTGCCGCCAAGAGAGTGTTTTAGCCGTATTGTATAAGCTGTGACAATACTCTACAGCATATTCGCTTCGTGCGCGACAGCAGCGC